AATCACCTGAGAAATGTCTTCACTTGAAGGTAATAACTTTATATTTGCATCTTGAATTAACTACATACTTCATGAAATACATAGTATTTATTAAATATCTCACTTCAAACCCCATTCAGCCGGCCATTGAAATGAAAGATTCTGTTCCAAATAAAGCAGTAGCAGTGGAGGATTTAAAGACATGCAAATCAGGTAAATTTTGCAATACAGATTACTATGGAAAGAAGTACAGTACATTAAAATGTTAGAGATGCCCATAATTTTCTCATTTTTTTTTCCCCAAATTTTTGGAAGGATTTGACATAGATAATTCAGATTTGATTGTTGGTGTCCATATTTGCAAATAAAGTGTTTGCAAGCATAATAGAAAAAATTTTAATGTAAGTGTTAAGCTGTTTCTACTTATGTTTCAATACCCTAATGTCCCCAGCTTGGATCCTTATACTTGGTAGGGATCCACAGAGCTTATTACAAGATTTCAAGATGATTTCAAAGTTGGCAGATGCTCACTGGAGAGCTGGGCCCTGTGGTGCAGGCCTGAGTCCTGGTTACTCAGCAAGTTGTGGCAAGAGGTTCCTTGGTACCCAAGATCCCTTTTCTAAAACAACAAAAACTGCTTACTGTAATTCTGATATTTACCTAGAGTAAAGCTCTGCTTGCTAACATGTCAACTGTGTTTCAACTTAATCATTTAATCTGTGTCAATATAATGATGATCGTAAGCATATAGATGTTCTCATTAACAGACTGTATGAGTATATATGTATGGTATATCATATCTTTGATTATTAAAAATGGGAAATATAATCATTCTGTTTGGTTTTTTTTTGGTACTGGGGATCAAACTCTGGACCTTGCACTTGCAAGGCAGGTGGTGGAACCACTGAGCTAAATCGCTGGCCCCGATCATTCCTTAATGACTATTTGGTAGACACAGTCCTTCAAGACAGTGATTCTGAAACTCTTTAGCCATAGTATTAAAAATTAGTACAGATTCTATGGAACTTTTGTTTAAATACATTCACTCTATTGACATTTACTCTACTAGAAATTAAATCTG